TTGCCTTAAGGGTGCATGCACTTGCCAGAGAGAGAGACAGTGTGTGTGAAGGAAAATGAGAAATCATCTCCCGGGGGGATCACCACGCTGCAGTCTCTTCTCCCCCATTCTTCTCACAGGATCTTAGGCACACACACACACACACACACACACACATATGCACCCGGCATGATTTTTAAGCCACTGGGTCTGAGACTCAAACCGCGGTTGGCCACGCGGGATTCCAGCAACATAACCACTGAAGTTCCCAGATGATTCCAAGATACAGCCAATACTGAGGACCATTGATGAGCTGTGATATGACTGGCTGGGGAAGCCTGGAATGCTGAATCTACCCAAGGAAACAGAAGACGCAAGGGCACTGGACCAGCCTCTCAGCTACCAAATAGCCCGTCAGGTTTGGAGCCCATGGGGCCTGCTGAGGACCAAGGGGAGTCCCATCCACCTGAGGGGACAAACCCAGGAGCTGCTCCTCAGGTCAGGCATGCGTAGGACCAGCCAGGCTAGGGAGAGGGCAGAGGGCAGGCTGGTGGGGGCAGGTGCCCTGGGCAGGGTGCTCTGGTGCTGAGTAATCACCCTCTCCCACCAGGGGGCTTCCCACCACTCTCATTCGGTGTGATTCGGTGACTTCAGAACCGCTCCGAGACATGGGAAGAGTGCCGGGCCAGCAGTCAGCTGGTGGAGCAGTTCAAGGAATGGCCCAAGGTCAGACACACTGATCAAGGGCAGGGCCAGCAACAGAGCAGACCCAGCCATGAGAACTCTGACAAATGAAGCCCTGGCACCACGCATGCCTGAGGGAGCCAACACACACCAGGAACACGTGAAGGGCAGGTGGGGGGAAGACACGTGTGGAGAAGCAGAAACAGCACGGAGGTGGGGCAGCAGGCTGGACCCCTAGAGTCTTCCTTCGGTCCTTCTCTGCTAATCCCTCCCTGTGTACCCCACAAAGTCCTTAACCTGCCTGAGCCTCGTTCTCTTCATCTGCAGAATGGGAGTGCGCATTCCT